GAAGAGATAAGAAAGATGTAGTTATCTTTGCATATTGATATCTCAGATCTGACGATGGAAACACTTATATATTAGATAAGGTTTATTCTTATGAATAACAATGAAAGGTACGCATCGTAATATATTGTTAGATCTAATTTTATTTGATTTCAATCTTGACATAAAATTTTTTTTACAAATAGCATGATTACATATTTTATGCTAACAAGAAGCCTTCAAAATTTAGCATCCAAAATGTTGAGTCAAAATTGATCAGTAAACTAAAGCATCTTTGAAGAACAGCAATGCCTTATAGTTCTGATGCTTGACAAAGCAGAGGTCTTTTTAGGTTTAGAATAAACAAACAACATGCTAACACTTATTGGAGTAAGGAATATGGAGTAAGCTGGCAGTATTTTTAGACAGAGCAAAATTGAAGTAAGATTAATATATTATATTATAGGAGAGAGAATATTGAAAGTATATCAGGCCAGAGTTTTGGAGTAGTGCAACAAGAAAAAGCAACGGGGCAAATAAGTGGTAAAATACTCCGGTTACACACTTATAAGAGTGATATTCTTTGATGTGACTGCGATTCTTTGATAAATTATATTTGCGAGTGAGATTCTTTGATTATTTTTTATATTAGTTGTGCTACTGCTTTTGGAGTTTTCGGAGCTAGTGCAGTGTCTGATGAAGTAACCTTTGGTCGTATGGAAAAAGAGAAAGATGTTCCCAAAATAAGGCAGAGAGGAGTTTGCAATTGAAAAAATAGTAAGGGAGTGCATACTCCATCCAACCTGCGAGCTCTAAGAGTAAGCCATAGAGACTCATCATATTCAGTACACTGCACTTTAAAGCCGATACTTGATTATTTCCTTAACCATTAATTGAGCATTTGAAAAGATTTGATATTATAGACAACACTCCTATACTGAACTTATTCAATTTCTTCTATATTAGTAGGCTAGCTTAATTCTTTTCTTGTTTCCTTAGTGCTAACATGAGTTTCGAAGCCTAGTGTTGTGAGTTTTGCTCAAGTAATAATAGTGTTTTTACTCTTGATTCTATATTAACCATGTTGGATTTAATAAATGAGTTTAAGTGTTTTGTTAGTTTTTTTTTTATCATATGTGAACAAGCAAGCGCACAAAGGTCAAACTAATAATGAAACTCTACTACAGGATGCTAACGCTTATTCGAGTTTCAGAGTATTCTACTATTTTCTATTTTACGTAAGAGAGATAAAATTCAGTATTGACCTTAGTGTTTAAGTGTTTTGTTAGTTTTTTTTTATCATATGTGAACAAGCAAACCAAAGTGCTAATGCTTACTCGGGGCACTAATGTTATTTATAGTCTAAAAAAGAGTTTTACCTTAGTGTGGAGAAAAAGATAGCTAAATAGCAAGCAAACAAGCTTACTTGAGTGGGTGCGTTAGTGAGTTGAGTTCAAAAAGTTATTGCACTTTAGTGAGTTGAGTTTCAAAAGAGAAGCCAAAGTTAGCTTTGGTGTTTGAACAAGCAAGGGCAAGAAGCAAAGTACTCTTATTAAGGGGTCAGCAGCTTATTCATTCTCAATTCAAGGTTTACTAGCCCTACTCACCCTATAGTTCTCAGTCAAGTGGAATGAAGATGAAAGGGGAATGAAATGCTATCTTTATAGGCCAAAAATGCATTAGAATAACCTAACGGGGTCTTTAATGAGCTATAATAAGAGTTTACCATAGCTAAAGCAATCAGAATTACCTTATTGAATTTTCTAGGGCAATTGTCCTTTTTTTTCATAATTTTATTAATTATCAAATGAGTTTATGAATTGGTTGAACCAATTTTGTGCATTTAAGCTTGTTCATATTAGAATATTATATGTCCATATATTTGGATCATATCCATGTCCATATTGACTTAGTGATTCAAGATTTTTAAAAAAATAAAAAATATGTTTTATTAATAAGTCATTGTTTTTTTCAAAATGACTTACAAAGAATTATCCATTATAGTTGAATTTCACATATTTTTTTCAAAAAATTATTTCTAATGATTAGCACTTGTAATATTTTGATTTTCATACTCCTCAAAAAGGAAAGTTTATCACTCACAAATTAGATTTACCCTCCTATGATAATATTTTATTCAAATATATGGAATATGATCATATCCATTTTCAGTTCACTGGTATGGATTGGGAGTGAGAGGTTTTCTCTTTCTCAAATAATTGTAAATAGGATTTGATTATTTTTATATAATTACAGTTATTGCTCTTAATTAAAGATCTTTATGTATGATAACGGGTAGGAGGGAGACTATTTTTCAGCTTTGGTTAATTAGGACAATTCTCGAAGTGAGTAAAAATCATTCATATCTCATTGATTTTTCCTATCTCGTCCCAACATGATTAAATGATGTAAGTTTATTGTAATATCATTGACGTATACTTTACTTATATTTACAATATATGATAAAAAAAATTTATATAAAATTACCGAGGATAATTTTGGATGGACGGGTTGGATAAGGATTGGATGAGGTGGAATATGTGATATTATTTCGCTTTGACTCGATTCGGTTTTAGAAAATTATACTTCAAAATTTGAATTCATTTTAGTCTCCAATTAAAAATGTCTAAACCCAATCGGTGATGGTTTGGGCCATACACCATCAAATTGTCATCGTTGATCTTATGATCTTACTTATCAGTCCTTTAAATATTTTTGCTACTGTATCATTCTAGATAATTCATATTTATTCCTATATTACAATACATGCAGACATATTAAGGTAAAATTTGATAGAAGATAAGATTTCTCCAACATGTTAATATATTGAAGCATTTTCATTTCTTCAATAAAGTTTATTTAATAATTATTTTTATTTTTTATTATTTTCATCATGGTATCAGAATAGTGAGAAAAGCGAAGTTTCGCTCTTGCCTTTGGCCAGCGACCAACGTCGTTGAGAAAAGCGAAGCTTCGCCCTTGTCTTCGGCCAGCGACCAACGTCGCTGTAGCCACATTCCTAAGAGGCTCCATGGCCAATCCTCATCTTCCTCACCGCGGTAGCCTTCGCTGCCTTCGCTGATCTGCCAAAAGTTGGTGGACTTAAGGAGAACGAAGGGAACGCCTGTGCTCTCACAGCAATAGCAATCGCAACAGTAGCAGCGATCTGCTCTTGCCCTACTCACGAAGTTTCTCGCTTATAAACCATTCTTTGCATCGATCCAAAATTGATATCCTTATTAGGAGCACCATCTTGCGAGGGCATGATAAAAGATAATATTTCCCCAACATGTTAATATATTGAAGCATTTTCGTTTCTTCAATAAAGCTTCTTCAATAATTGTTTTTTATCTTCTATTATTTTCATCAAAATTAGTATTAAGAATGCAGTAAGATTGATAAAAATATTTTAGATGATATTGGCAATACATTTAAATCTTATCCATGTCAAACTTATTAAAAAGAATCTCCATCAGCACAAAATTTTATGTTGGGTTGAATCGTTGGTTGAACGGTTTTAAAGAATATATATTAAATGATATCACATATCTCAGGTAAACTTATGCTCAAGCTTTCATATCCTAGTAGTATTGAATTGATTAAAACAATTCTATATTGCTATTGTCAATCCCAAATATGACATCTTCTGGTTTGATGCAGACTAACCCAAAAAATGATATCCTCCGACTTGTTCTAGAAATGCTCGAAATATCATCTTTTAGACTTATAACTAATATCTTAAATCCTAAAGATATTAAATCAATCTATAAATATAAATAAATATTTCTCACCTCTTCCTCTTTGATCTTCAAATTATGTCATTTGATTATCTATTTTTATTCTATCATTTTGTATCACCGATAATTAAATATGCTTTGACAATTAAGAGAAAAAAAGAAGAAGAATAATAATATAAAAAAGGGGTTATATCAGAGTTGGAAGAGCTTATTGAAATTAAGTGATAAGTTAAGGATATTTACTTAAGGGGTTATATCATTTATTGAGGGATGTCTTAGAAATATTAAAAATTCTTAAAATGAGATTGCAAATAGCAACAAGGGGATTGTTAATAGAAAACTTCAAAAAATTAAATGACTCACCATCACTAAAATTAAGTTTTCAAACAAAAATATTTAAACTATATTGATAACAATTTGCAATCCTTTTTTGCTATTTACAAACCTATTTTAAAATTATAAATTACCTTTTTGTAAATGGACGTAAATACTATTTTCTTCTTTCTTCTCCTTCTCCTTCTCCTTCTCCTTCTTCCTCCTTGGATAACGACGTTGAGGATGTGATGACCTAGGTCGAATGGCATTGCCGACAATAATGAGCGGCATAAGTAGTAAGCAAAGAGATAGTAAGTGGCATTATGAGGCCGACAATAATGAGCGGCATAAGTAGTAAGCAAAGAGATAGTAAGTGGCATTATGAGGTCATTGTGCCCATGTCAACAACGTTAATAGCGAAAGAGAAGTGTTAGAGGAGGCGAGGAATATTGTGAAGTCATTGTGCGCATGTCAACAATGTCAATAGCGAAAGAGAAGTGTCAAAGGAGGCGACGAGCAGCATTCACAAGTAGGATTGCGAAGATGGCGTTGGCAAGGAGTGACATTGATAGCAAGGATGAAATAAAGGGTAATAGGAAAAATAAAATAAAATCAATAATATTAAGATTATAAATAGTAAAATAATATTTTATTATTTTTTAAGGAGTTGTCAATGATAAAAAGGGCTGTGAATATTACACTTCTTTTGTAAATAAGCAAGAAGGGATTACAATAGAAATCTTCAAAAAATTAAAGAACTAGCCATCACTAAAATTAAGGTTGGAAACAAAAACGTTCAAACCATATTAATAACTTTGATCCATATCTTTTTCAAAAGATACCAAGTTTAGTTAGTAAAATCCTATCTTTTACAACAATTTCCTTTTGTATCTACTCACCCTTTTCTGAATCGTAATCAGTTTTCTTCCTTCGTTATGGTTTTCATGCACTTAGTGGAAAGGGAAAAGTTAATTGGCACAAAGCTTGTAACAAGCGCAGCTAAACAGCTTGTATCCAATCATAGATGGCACAGTCTTATACAAACTTAACGATCCAAAACATGTTTGAAGTATTCAGCTGTATCGATCATCTCCTACATCGCATTAGGCAGTAGTACTCAAAACCACAGGATCCGTGGAAACGCCATGCTTCGATGGGGGCTGTCAGTATGTGTAGCCCTTGACAAACATCCCCTTTGTAGCCTCTGCAGACTCACCCTCGCCTGTATACTTTCCGAGCTGCGCGAGCGAGTTGGCCTTGGCCCGGAAGAGCAGAGCATCTTGCGCGGCCTTTACGTTCTCCGGCCTCCCTCCCCATGTCTTGAGGCAGGTGTTCTGTAGCGCTCTGGCGTAGGAGAAGGAGACGTGCCATGGGTTGGGGCCTTGGTTCATGGCGTTCAGGTTGAAGGTTGCCTCCACCTCCGACTGGCCTCCGGAAAGAAACTGTTATCACAGCAATCAATCAGAAGCACACGAGTATTAATTAAAATCAATAATTACTTTTTAGTATCTCAATCGAAAATATATTATTTGGAGACTATTTATTTTTAGGATAATGAATCAAATACAAGAGGGTATTGAGGTGACATAAAAGAAATATATTTTGAAGGTGTTTGGAATTTCCCTTATCTCTCTCTATCAACGAAAAACTTCGAGGTTGATTGGATTTGGGTTTTCTTTTCTTTTTTTTAATCATCTGTTCCATTTATATTCTATTATTAATTTTCTTGATTTTTTTTTTTTTTTTGGTTTTATGTTCTTTGGATTTCTTTCTGTCACTTCAACAAGAGAAGCAAATGTATGTTAATACCATGATGCCAGGAACAGCAGGTGGGATTCTTCTGTGCAGAAGCTTCAAGGTGTACTCAGCAACTTGCTTTGGTGTGGCTTTCTCTGGGCACTCAGCGCCCGGGGTCACCATGCTCGGCTTCAGGAGGATGCCTTCGAACATGACGTTGTTCTCGGCCAGGTAGAAGAAGACCTCAGCCCATACTTTCTGTGCAACCTCGAAGGTCCTCTCGATTCCGTGGTCTCCGTCAAGCAGGATTTCTGGCTCCACAATCGGCACCAACCCATTGTCCTGCAAACCCATTAGAAGAGAACTTGAGGTCAGCTTAGTTCTTTTAGCCCCCATGTCCCCATAGCTTCTCATATACATAATCCAATGATTTAGCAGTATAAGATGAAGAAACAACACAAGGAACCGAGTGTGTGTACTTGTGCGATGGCAGCGTATCGAGCCAAGCCCCAGGCAGCTTCCTTGACTGCAAGAGCCGATGGGCCATTTGGAATGCTGACCACTGTACGCCTGCAATGTGTTTGATGTAAGTCCTCTGAGAACATGCACGAGGAAGGTTCCTGCAACTTATGAAGTGAATTCTACCATTTAGCAAAGCGGGCACCCTGTTGATAGTATGCTGCGCATCGCGATGCCAGGCCGTCCAGTCCTTGGCACCATGATTCGTCATTTGAGCCAGTGAGTGGCACTAAACCCTGAGGAAAAGACAACATGGCGTCAAACACAGCCCTGCCCATCTCCTAGCAGACGACGTCACAGGAGCATTGGCACATGATTTAAGCGATTACCTTGTCGACCTTGATCCCTGGCATTATGTTCTGTTGAGTAAGAACATCAACCATCTTCTTACCATCTGTGGTCGACTGATAAAGAGTTTCCTCGAACAGGATTGCTCCGGAGATGTACTGACCCAGACCAGGTGCTGAGACAAGGAGGGTCCTGTAAGCTTGTCGGTTCGCCTCGGTGTTCTCCAGCCCGATCGTTGCGAGTCTTTTCCCGCAGGTGGCGTTGGATTCATCCATGGCCAGTATTCCTCTACCTGGTGACGCAATACTTTTCTGCATGCAGCAATTTATACCGTGAGAACTGTTTAATCTTTCGTCTTCCATTGTGTGCAAGGGTGCTGAATCTTGATCTCAGTTGCTACAGACCAGACTTGTATATGGATTTCCCATCAGCATATCAAATATAAGACCATGATTGGTTGGGTGTGGATTGAATACTGAACCAAAACTAAGAATCTCTCGAATTACTAAAAAAGCTGTCGTTTTAGTACGTCTGACTTGAGAAGGATTGTTATTAGAATCATCTATTGCTGTCTGCCCTTTTAGTGTCATCGAGCAGCTGATATGACTGACCTCATATGTTGATTTTCATGTTATTTTCTGAATGCTAAATTTTTTTTGGTGAATATATCTGATATACATTCACAAATTATCAGATGAGCAACTTAGTTTTTAGATCATAATGAGAACAACTAAAATATAGCCTCAAAGTTGCATTTGATATGTGGATAGTTAGGTCCTAACATACAGAGACTCCTACTTTGTGCATGAAGAACTTAATAATAATAACGTAGGTGCATACTGCTGTCTTGACAAGCTCGTCGGAGTAGGCGCCAGCACGAACGCTGAAAGCGATGACCGTCGGCTGAGGGGTTGATGATTTCCGTGTAGTGTGCCATTCAGATCTCTTGGGAAGGAAAGAAGACTTCAGGAGAGCAGCTGAGGCCATCTGCAGAGGAACAAGGTATTGGCCTTAAGCTTTGCTCTCCTTGAACACTGAGTTTTCTGCTGAAGGGTGAGGGGAATGGCTGTGTATCTTTTAAATTAAGGTAGTGAGCAAATGAATCAAGGACAGGATAGAAGATGTGAGGTGGAGGTTGGCTTTAAGATTTGAATGGTGGATTTAGGTATTAGCCGGGTGGTAGATGCTCAGATAGCTGCGCAGTTCTTTTATTGTTCCAATCATGGTGCTGTTTTCCTTGGAAGGATTTGCTTTGTCTCGCTCTCAGATTTTTTGAGCACCTTATCATTCTTGCTACTGTTCATCTATTTCAACGTCATTCTGACTACAAATACATCTTGAAAATAGTGCAATGAATGTGCAAGTTTGTGTGGTGGTGATGCACCTTTCTTCTGCACGTCAACACCACACAAATTTTATGGTTAGCTATCTTTCCAATCTCAGAAAATTAATGGTTGAAGGATGGATCATCAAGAATTCTGTGTGGCAGAAGATTGCTGCTGTCCCAAGTTCTCTGTTCCTTTTGCTGAAGAGAGAGTGTGAATGAGAATCAGTATCAGAATTGTGGCACAAGGATTAATCACTGTTCCTAAGCTGACTGATAACAGTTGCTCTAAACATAACAAAAAGTGTTGATATCTCATTTCTAATTGAACACAAATTTGAAAGGTCAAATTTTGAGCATTCATTATGTATGTGATCACTGGGACTGTAACCTTCATAACAGGAAGTAATGTTTTCCTGCACAGTCAAGCTACCACTTTTCTCACACATACAGCTGGACCTGTAGCCAGACTGATCCTTGTACTGCTGATGCAAAATTTTCAAGCAAACAAGTGTCTTAATTAATGATGAAACACACCTGTATCATCTACAGCCTTTTTCTTCTGCTCCAGCAACATTTGGATAGTTTAACTGAGAGATCTCAAACCCCACCACTATATCACTGGTTTTACACTCAACAACTCTTACAATGTAAGACTCAACACAAGTTGTCTAGATCAATGACCTGTTATGTAAGGCTTTCCAATGGATCAACAAATCCTAACAAAGTCTACACAAAGGTAACTGGGTAGAAAAGAAAAACTTTTAAGAACAGCACTCCTTGAGAATTAGCAAAGTGTTTACTGGTACTTTAGGCCCATCTCTCTCAGTGACTCAACATATACATGTCAACTATTTCACCGTATTGCAAAGAGCCGTAATTAGCTTCCAATTGATGCTTTTACCAAAAGACTTGACCTTTAGATAAGAACATGTCACACACACACACACACACACACTCTCAGCCACCATTTGATGCCTATTTGCAGAAAGATGACAGGGTGGTAACCATTATGCAAGTGCTCTACAATTAACATAGGTACTAAAGAATAATATATCATATTTTCAACAGACACATAACAATGATAATTATGCATGAATCAGTTCTCATCTGATGACATTGTTCAAATTTATAAAGGATAAAAAAAAACCATGTTTATAAATAACTAAAAAGACAAATATTGTCACCTATTTCACATTAATAAATTTTTAATGTAAATAATACTAATTTAAGATTATAATTTCGAACGTATCGTATATCTGCATGCTCTATATACCAAGGCATGTACCAATCCGAACAAGGATTGGTATGAGTTTCAATCAAAATTTTGAAATCTCATACTGAAGTCAGAACCACTGGGAGTGATGTCGAGTGTAGCTGGAAACATACTTCACAGATGAATCATTATAAGATTTTGTTATCTTTTATTAAAAAATAATATACAAAAAAATATATTATTATCAAAGAAAAAAGAAAAAAGATTCATAAGCTATTGAATATTACCTGTAGGGTACTAAGAAAAAGTGATGTATCCAGTAATCAACAGATCGTGGTAAAAATCCCCTCGAGCAATTCAATTCACCTCCAACACTGTTTGCAAGAAGAAAATAAAGGAGCAGAAAATTATGCATGTTGAAATTTCCATTAATCGAAACAGCTTTTTCCTAATTTCCTCATTAAATAACCCATCTACTTCAAATTGCCTTGATATAGTAACGAGTAAAAGAAACAACACAGGTTTAGGAAGGATTGGTGACTTGTAGCATCAACCTTTAGACTTTAGATACATCAAGAAAATGGTGATTGGGAAGCAGAAGACAGGATATAAAAATTAGCTGTGTGCAGTTTATGAATCTTTTAGACTATTCTGTTTGACCCATTGTTTACTGAAATAAATAGATTAGCGTGATGCTAGAGATTGCATGTCTACTTGGTACATTGTCCATACGGATATGTTATGTGCTTATAATGCATATATCTTACATGACTAAATATTTTTCAATAAATTTGATCAGATTTTTATCGATAAACTCAGTTTATATATTTATAGAGATATTTTGGACTAGTGTGATACTAAAAAGTACTTGATCTAGTTCAGGTTCAATAATATGATGACTCCATATCATATTTTGGATAAAAGTCTTGATGGAGAAAAGAATCATCTTAGCAAGATTAATCATAAAATTAAATTAAAAAATTCTTTGCTTGTAAAGCTAAAGTATTAACTACAAGGTCAAAAGTAATAAAATTTAAAATACATAAAGAAACTAATAGACACATAGGGGCACAAGTTATCTTTGGAGCGCACCTGGTTTCTCTCGAAAGATTGTATATCATTGTTTTTTTTTTTTGGATCTCTTCCTCCTCTCTTACTACCGGAGTCTCCTCCTAAGATTTGGACAATAGACAGTGGACTTTGGTAACTTATTACAGTAACTTGGTAGCTAGGTGGAGCTTAATGCAAAGCCTGGGCTGTTGGAACTTAAGAAAGAAAGCTATAGTTGGAAGGACTAGCTATACCTCATAGAATTCCTTCATTTTCTCTTCTCCTCTGTTTTCTCTTTTGAGGCTATAATAGCTAAGGCTGGCTAGACATTGTTGAGAACTTCTTGACTGCCATTAGATAGGGATGCACTTCTCATTTTAAAGGACTAGGAGTACCCTGAGTCCTTAGGGTTTAAGGACCTTCATTGTAGGGCACACATAGTGAGTTCTTTTTTTTAGAGCATACATAATTAGTACTTTTCTTGTAGGATTTGTTAAGATTGAGTCGGCACTAAGAGATGGGGGGGAGGTAAATTAGTACAGCGAAAAAATTATATCGATTCAAAAAATCTTTTCGTACGATTAAAACCGATCTCGGAAGGTGTTAACTTGAAAACATATGAGAGCGTAGTGAGAGTAAGAAATCAATTTGTAATGTGAAGTAGATTGCAATAAAGGTAAATAGCAAAATAGAAATGTAAACCGATTTATAGTGGTTCGGTCGTCATGACCTACATCCACTTTACCGATTCCTCTTCCGTCGAGGCCACCAACATCTATTAACGATCTTTCTTTAATGGACGAAGATCAATTATCCTTATAACTTGATTATCCTTTTGGTAGGTTCAGGAGAGAACTTTTACAAACCCCTTCACTCCTCTCTTAAATAAGACTAACACTTAGAGCTTGAGAGGAGTTCTTATAAGATTACAACAGCGTTTTTCTACTTTTTTGCTCTCAATTCTTGTGTTTGTTAACCAGGGATGAGAGAAGTATTTATAGGCCTCAAGTTGATTCAAACTTAGAGCCTAAAAAGGTCTCATCCCGGGTTTCTCGGGTCTTGGCGGTACCATCGCTTGTGTTGGACGGTACCACCGCCTGTAACACTGATATTAGGCGGTACTATCGCTCAGTCTAGCGGTACCACCGCCTAACACTCTACCATTGGGTAGTACCATCACCCAATCTGGCGGTACCACCGCTTGACAATCTCTCGAAGAATGTGTCTCGATGGTACCACCTCCCAGACTAGCGGTACCATCGCCTGACATAGTCTCGGAGACTGTGCCATGACGGTTTCACTTGTTGGGTCACTGTTTGAGCCTTTTCACTTGGCTCAACGTAGCCCAAACTTGGACCCAATTGGCCTCTAATTGAGTTGGCCCAATTCAACCTAATTATGTACTAACTATGAATTTTAAGGCATATACTAAGCTAAATAAGTCCGGTAAGTCTAGGTTTCTTTCGGCGAGCTTCTAGCGATCTTCCGGCGAACTTCTGACGATCTCTCGACAATGTTCCAGCGGACTCCTGGCAAGCTCTTGGTCTTTATGATAATATTTTTGGTGAGTTCCGATGAGCTTCTTTAGCAAGCTCCTGGACTTCTCGATCAATTCTAGTAGAACTTCCGATGAACGTTTGGACTTCCGACGAACTCTCGAACTCCCAACGAAATCTCGTTCATAACTCCGAGACTTCATTTTGCTTTATGCCTTGATTTCTATCGTAGTTAATATTGCACACTTAAAACCTACTTCGATCTAGATAATTATTACAAAGCTTGAATCAAATGTTGTCCGGCATGTCATTGGTTCATCGACGCTTCGTTCGATTCTTCGGCGCATCATCCTCTCTTATGGTCTATTGCCCAATCGGCCAATTGACCTCCATAACTTCGATTTCCTTAGCGTAATTTTCGCTCTTCTTGGCCCGATGCCCGAACCCATAGCCTGAAGCCTTCTGCCGATACGTCAGCCGATCCTTCGGCTCGACGTCCAATCTTCTGACATGTTCTACTCTAGCCCAACATGATTCTTCCTGCTTTTAATTATCTTTCATTGATCGAAGCTTCCTACATCACTCAAAACGTAAATCAAATCATAAACACTATTAATTGGTTTTATCATCAAAATCTAAGATTCAACAATCTTTTTGTTTTTAATGATGACAACCAATTGATGACGGAGTTAACCTTAACTCTCCCTATCAATATGTCATATTGATAGAAACTTGAATTCAAGTCAAGGCAAATTTAATCATGAAATCATTATGAGTCCAAACAACATATCATCATAAAATCATGCATAATCAAAATTTTAATATATCATTCAATGTATGATCATCATCATAATTTCTCCCCCTTTATCATCAACAAAAAGTAGAAGTGCAACTAACAAGTTTTTAGATATAATATTAAATCATTGCATTTATCATCATGCAAGCTAGCAAATTTTTATAAAATTTTTACACCTTTTGATATATGCAGGATAGCATGTTTTTGCATCTACTTGAAACGTGTA